GCCCCCGGATATCCTGGCCAAAGTGGAGTGTTGGGACGCGCCGTGACTGACCAGTACGACGCGCCCCTCAGCCACCAGGATCCGACCAACCCGGGGACGAGGGCGAGGGGGCACGACGACCCCGATAAAACGAGGATCAGGAGTGATGAGCGGGCCAGATGCAGGAAAATGGGTAATGTGGAGGGAGCGGGCCGGACAAGGAGCAGGAGCTCACGTACCGGCAGGGTCGCTACGCCCTGAGAGAACCAGCTTGCGCTGTCCACCCGTTACCGGAGCTGGGACCCGAGGGGGCGCTAGTCCCCTACACCGACGGAAGCCGGTGTCCCTGCGGGTGACCATCTGTTCTCTCTGCGAGCAACTGAAACGGAGCTGCGCAGTATAAGGAAATATTTATGTACAACCCTATACATATATCATGCAGCCTTTCCACCACAATCATCTCTTTGTTGCCAGTTAAGCACACCGCATATACTTCCTCGACCTTCAATGAAACGAGCCGTAAAAATAGTACGTCTTCTCTGCACATTCCTTTGTCATAGATTGGCACCCAACGTTTGTGTAACCCAGTGAACAGTAGCCCCCACAACACGCAGACCTCAACCTGCTACGATTTGCACCATTGCGTTTACCGAACACAAACCTAATACGCTTTGTGACACCTTAGAAAGTGGCTTTATGAGTATGTATTCCATGTTGAGATGAACACAAACTCACAAAAATATCACGTAATTCGTGCCTCAAGATCACTCCGTCGCCGCGTCTGCAGAGGATTCTAGCCTTTATCTCGGAGTTTCAGCTTCAAGTATAAAGCTGATCTACACATTGCACGTTATACCCATTATATGATGCTAACTGGTTATGCAACATGGGCAAGGCTACCTTTAAAACCTCTCAAGAATGTAGGAGCGCTTCTTATTATTGATCCCCGCATCAAGAGCTTTCTAATCTCTAATAAATAATTGTATATATACATACATACATACATACATATATATATATATATATATATATATATATATATGTACACATATACGTATATACATGTATATGTATATATATATATATATATATATATATATATGTATGTGTGTGTATATATATATATATATATATATATATATATATACATGGAAGTTATTCAACGACTCCATTAAGGAAACATTAGTTATACTGTCAATGCTCCACATTCCATAGTTGTGCCCATGGTCAGGAGTAAGCGTTAGGCAAAAATAACATTTAAACATTAGTACATAGGAATTCGAAGAATGAACTGAATTTCGCGCACGCTGCCGCCAAACTCATCACACAATAACACATCATTTAAGCTCCCACGTCCTAAAACCTTGCATATCGTGCTACCCTAAGGGTTGCATGAAACACAAACGACTAATTTGACAGGTTTCAATTAACCTTACAAAGCATTAGTTATAAACATCAGGCCCCTCAAGCGCAACGAACTATGCTTGCGATAAACTGACAAACGTTCCGAGTGTTCAGGCTCTGACATATCAGTATCCAATACATGGTGCTGCTAAGAGATCCCGAAACATGGCTGGCTACGCCGAAAGGTTTTGGTAGCCCATGTCAAGCCACAGATGCAAAAAAAAAATGGTCAAAGGTCGTCGCAATTCATTATAAGAACTAATTTTTTTAAATTTATGTTTATTATATATATATATATGCATTATGCATATAACATTATATATATGTATATATTATGCACGTATCATATATTATATAAAGGATATTTATGAACCGCCATTATGTAAACAGTCCTACTCAAATCAATTTACAAGATAGTATTTGCATGTTGAGCCCCGGAGAGCAATTACAAATGTCTTGAAGTTCGTACTGACTTAAGCTGTCGCTAGAATGTCAGTTTTATGGTTTGTTCTTCTTGTGCTATTCTCTACTGCTGCGTGTCATTATACTATGTTTTTCTCTAGTGGTGTGTAATCTTGACGTACACTTGCGTTTCCAGGGTGTTAATTGAACCGGTCGCGAATGCTACGCTTTATTTCTCGTTCATAAGATATTCCTGGGCAGAGGTTACAAGACATCCTATCTTCTATGATTTTCCATGTTCGTTTTCCTCCCACTATAATAACATATGCATGGCGAGTCATGCCCGATACTGGACACGCAGGGTCCTCAGGACTGATCAAACTCGAATGGTCCTTTAAGTAGGGCCGCTGCGCTGCCCTACCTCCCTGGTATGGGCTCATTTGTCTGTTTACATGAAAGCGAAGGCGTTTTTCTTCCTAAATTGGGCATTCGGCACCCGAAAGCATCTGAGGGCGAATCTCGCTTATTGCGGGTTTCTAGTCACTTTAAGTCAATCGCAGCCCTATTTTCTTGATTTAGGCGCGGTGTACCTGTATGCCAACTGCGTGTGCACATGAATATTCAATTCCCAGCGCTGGGCGCCATCTATACTGCTAGAAAGGAAATTAATGCTGTTGTTCTGGTAGTTGATTACTGAAGCGTGTTTTGCAGCACACAACCGACATAACAATATCTAGTCATCATTACCACGATCTTGTGCAGAAGCCTCCCTGCACATCTACCTTCACACATTTATCCTGCATAAGCACAACAAAACGTGCGAATCACCTCACCATGGTATGACATTACAACGCCCGCGAGGAACGCAATGCTCATCTCACCTGTGGGATATTTTGGATATTTTGGTATTGGGATATTTGGGCAATTTTTTGCGACCCGCCGCCGCCACCGCCTACCGCCGCCGATCGCCTGGCCTCAGTCGTGGTAACTGCGCAAGAGCGGTGCCACCAGGAACGTCAGTACACCATGTGGCAGGACCTAAGGTGACCAGTTCGGAGCGTCTGTTCATTCGCCCCGCTCCGCAGTAGCGGTGCCACCAGGAACGTCAGTACACCATGTGGCAGGACCTAAGGTGACCAGTTCGGAGCATCTGTTCGTTTGCCCGTCCCGCAGCAGCGGTGCCACCAGGAACGTCAGTACACCGTGTGGCAGGACCTAAGGTGACCAGTTCGAAGCGTCTGTTCATTTGCCCGTCCCGCAGTAGCTGTGGTGAACTACGTCTTTTCATCGCGGCACTTCTACTATTTACGTAAATCGAAGTTCACAAGAAGGCACAACCTGCATTTCCCCAACAAATACGGGCAGACAAAGAATATCGTGGGGAGCAAACACAACTGAAAAAATGAGTTATCATTTTAAAAATGGTGGTGGCTCATGCGGTGCTTGGTGGCTCATGCGGTTAGAGCCTCTGTGCTCACATTTACCCACCCGACGCTGGATGGGCTCGAGTCGCTTTAAGCGTTCTCCATCTTCCGCTGACTCGGATGATGTTGGCAGGTGGTGGCAGGGTTTTAAAGGTCTGTTGATGTTATAGAGTACGGAAGATCGTGCCGAGCACGCTAAATTTCCCCACACAAATTATGTGATCTACCTGAAATGTAGATCCTACCTGGAATTTGATGACCTGCGCGGAGTTTACTGCCTAGCGTTCGATTTAGGTAAACAAATCCATACAATTGAAAAGCTGAGCCAAATCCTTGAATATGAAAATGACATTTTTGGGGTTGACAGTGGCTGTCTTGGTCTAGGCTGATTTGTTTCTTTGATCGCCTTCTAGCTGGCATCTGATCTCCCTTTCTCTCGCATGCTCTCTCCCTCTCTCTCTCTCTCTCTCTCTTCTCTCTCTCTCTCTCTCTCTCTCTCTCTCTATTTCTTTTCTCTCTCTCCGCTTCTCTCTCCCTCGCTCTCCCCCTCTCTCTCTCTCTCTCTTTCTCCCTCTCCTCTCTCTCTCTTCTCTCTCTCTCTCTCTCTCTCCTCTCTCTCTCTCTCTCTCCTCTCTCTCTCTCTCTCTCTCTCTCTCTTCTCGCGAGCATTGGGAAGTGTGTTGCCCGGCGGGTGAGGAGGTCGACAGTTCCTACTCTGGCACTTTGTGTTTGGGAAAATATTTCTGTGTTGGTTGTTCTCCAGACGCCATTTGAATTGTACACTTGTAGAATCACCAGTTGTCATTTACCTGCTTACAGAATATGGTTTGTTCTTTTTCGGCGGGCTGTACCGTTGCTGGAATTTGATAGCTCTTCCACATGGCGTGCGCATTCAATGCAGCGTTTAAACAGTGCAAAAACTACTTTGCAACGTTGAGCGCATCTGTTTGCAGTCACATCAATCTTATGCGCATGGTTCAAGGAATATTTTCAATAGTTCTCCATCTATTGTCAACGGGGGCTAATTGCGCAATTTTAGCCTTAGAATTGGACAAGACTACCACAAGCCCTAGCCATCCCAGCAATAATTAGTTCTATGCTGAACGCAGCTGATTTCAAATATACCAAGGGATCATGAGATAACACGTGAAACTTCCAAGCATTTTCAGCAGCGCCTATGGTAAGGATGCAGTCGTGATCGCGAGGGAGCGAAACATTGAGCATTTCCTTCAGATATCACAAGGACTGTTCGACATCCTCTTTTAAATGGAGTCCCCTACATTTAGGAGCATCAGAAACTTTCAGCATGCCAGGCCTTCACACAGAACAACTAAGAACACAAGGTCCTCATTTCTTATAGGAAGCTTATCTCAGCAACCAAGGCAGTGGGAATCCATCTCGGGAATCACTGACAGAATGCATCTATTCAGGGTGTACAAAGGCATTCGTTACCACGACACGTATCTCTTCACGATTGGGGAAACAGCCATCGCAAAAATTAACGTCAGTATTTGCGATACGTCAGATAGCAAATCACCAACAACGAAAGGAGCTCAGCAGGCCCATGGATCTTTCAAGGGAAAACCACGAGCAAAGGCAACTGCATATTGAAGTCATATCGCTGTTGAGTCAGCCAGACCATGTCGCGCCGTGAGAGCACAGCTGAGCCCTTTGGCAGGAGTTGCAACACTGATAAGGGTCATCGTGTGGGACGCGCCCACCTGTGAGCGTCCCCACATATAAGCAGCGTCGGGGTCGACTCTGCCACTCTGACCCACCAGCGGAGCCAAGATGCGGCTGATCGCGGCAGCCCTCCTTGTGGTCCTCGTGTCGTCGGCGACGATACGAAAGCCGCGTAAGTTGCGTTGGCACCAGTGAAGCGCGGCAGTGACTGGTGTCGAGAACAAGAGGACGCACAGCAAGACGTGGCACGTGATCTCTCGTCGGCTTCAGCAGTGCATCTGATGGCCGTCCTTGCCATGCAACGTGTCGTGCCAGCAATACATAGTTGTTCTGACCAAGTCCCTAGGAGTCCAGCAATGGACCGTACTCGTAATAAATGTACGGAGGTCGGCTATTATTGATGAAAACTAACCCAAGCCAGATTGTTCGTGGCGGCCAAAATGCCGTCCGTAAAAGTTTTATAGCTTCTTCGATGCCTTGAACTTATTTACCAATGGTGTATATGATTTCACTGAACATAGCATAACGTGTAGTGTCCCACACAGGGTTTTTGTAAGGGGGAGCGCGGAGGTGAATGCTGCACATGTTTGCCGGAACACTGACTTTCCTCTCAAATCCATAGCGGGAAGGGATAGGGTAGCTTCAGTGTGCTTGCAGTGAAGTGAAAACATAGGCAGCTGAAAACATCTGGGAACCCGTTGGATTTCAACAATTAAAACTTGGGAAATGAAGTGGAGATATTCGTAACCCAAACATCTCCAAGCCTAAATCGGAACTGGGACTGACTTCGTCGGTTTTGAGTTTTCAGTTCCGTACCGAGCCGCCAGACCTCGACGCCGAAAAGATGTGCGAGGAGTGCTTGACACGGTCCGCCTGATCGAGTCACGCATGCGGAGCCTGAAGACCAGAAGCAGGACCAAAGTGAGTGAAACGGATGCCGTCGGCAAACGGCACCTGCGAATATGGTTCGGTCATTAATTCGCCAAGTGGGCGTGATGCCATTCAAATACTTCCAATAAGGGCCTTTTTTAATAATCAACGGTCAACAAGCAGACTGAAGAGGGACTGCTCTCCATGGTTTTGGATTCCACGGATAACAGTCCAATATCCAAGATCTCCATTTCACGGTAGACACAAAGTGTAGCCACTGTTTATCTGTGTAAAATCATGACAGCCTGCACCCAAACCTGGGATAGATTTCGTGGGTAACAACAATCGCGGATACTGCAGACTGCAGCGTCACAGGCAGCTTTAAAAGGCAGTTTGCATTTGCATTATCATACGTTTTGCCCCCAATACTGCCTCTCGGAGGTATCCAAACGGGGTTTGATCCGTTCTACCACACTGGCACTGTCCCCCCTAACCCGCCTCGGACCGCGTCCGCGCCAGCTCCATGTCCCTGACACTGTCCCCCCTAACCCTGCCCCGCTGACCGCGTCCGCGCCAGCTCCATGTCCCTGACACTGTCCCCCTAACCCTGCCCGCTGACCGCGTCCGCGCCAGCTCCATGTCCCTGACACTGTCCCCCTAACCCTGCCCCGCTGACCGCGTCCGCGCCAGCTCCATGTCCCTGACACTGTCCCCCTAACCCTGCCCCGCTGACCGCGTCCGCGCCAGCTCCATGTCCCTGACACTGTCCCCCTAACCCTGCCCCGCTGACCGCGTCCGCGCCAGCTCCATGTCCCTGACACTGTCCCCCCTAACCCTGCCCCGCTGACCGCGTCCGCGCCAGCTCCATGTCCCTGACACTGTCCCCCTAACCCTGCCCCGCTGACCGCGTCCGCGCCAGCTCCATGTCCCTGACACTGTCCCCCCTAACCCTGCCCCGCTGACCGCGTCCGCGCCAGCTCCATGTCCCTGACACTGTCCCCCCTAACCCTGCCCCGCTGACCGCGTCCGCGCCAGCTCCATGTCCCTGACACTGTCCCCCTAACCCTGCCCCGCTGACCGCGTCCGCGCCAGCTCCATGTCCCTGACACTGTCCCCCTAACCCTGCCCCGCTGACCGCGTCCGCGCCAGCTCCATGTCCCTGACACTGTCCTCCCTAACCCTGCCCCGCTGACCGCGTCCGCGCCAGCTCCATGTCCCTGACACTGTCCCCCCTAACCCTGCCCCGCTGACCGCGTCCGCGCCAGCTCCATGTCCCTGACACTGTCCTCCCTACCCCGCTGACCACAGCCGTCAGCCGCCTGCACGGCCTCATAGCAGCGGCCGAGTGGCAAGCACACACCCTGCTGCAGCAGCACGGGTCGGCTGAGGCGGCCCAAGCTCTGGTGACCGCCGCTCACGAGGCGGCGCAGGGACTGCGCGCTCTTGCCGCAGGCACCACTGATGTCGAGGCCGGCCTGCACGCCGTGCTCTCCGAAGTGCTCGTTGTGCTGCACCAGCTGGGCGCAGTCCAGGATGGAGAGCAGCTGGACGTCACCAGTAAGTGCGGGTGAAAGTCGCTATGAGTGAGGTGAGGGTGGAGCTCATGTGAGGGGCACATGTCTTAGGTAAGAAGTCTGCATACATGGCACCCAATTGCACCCACATGCAATGAAAAGGACGAAAACGCTTTCGAAATTAACGCAGCTTAAAAACCTACAACTTTCAGAAATATGTCTTTCAATGTGTGGATACCAACGCCAGTATGAGAATACCCTGGCCAATAGTCCTCTAAGGTTGTCAACACGAAACAAAGCCCAAACTTGCTAGGCCACGGTAAGAGACAGGAACGCCTTACTCATCGGGGCACAAATAATTCAGAAACTTATGAGCCTTTCCAGCCTGGCCAAAATTCATTAGAACGCCACTGTCATACAACCCTCCTCACTTGCATCCTCCACTCTACAGCGCCCGTGTCTTTTCTGGACAAGATCCTGGAGGAGCTGCAGTCGTTGGTGGACAAGTACTTGCCCATCCTTGGGCCAATCATAGGCCTGACGGAGAAGCAGGCTCTGGAGGCGCGCAAGCAGTTCGACAAGTTCGTGGCGGACGTGGAGGCGCTGGAGCACGGCCAGGTGCCAACAACCGACGGCCTCGAAGCTATGATCACTGACATCCTCGAGATTCTGAAGATCGGTATTGACTACAATGCGCCTAGTGAGTACGGTCGGTATCGCAACCTGAGCGGAGGCGTAACCCACGTGGTTTGTTAAGTGACAGTCCACTTTAAGTATTTCTTGCCTCGGACAATGCAGTTGGCTTCACGGTGGCATTCTTATGCGCGAGTATTGGAAGGCGGCACTAGCTGTCCATAGCTTTGGAGACATCCAATGTTCCTGATTTTCATAACCCAGACCTGCTCTACATGTGGGCAGATTAAGGTACCTTGCCCAGATTTGCCCGGGAATGCATGTTCAACGCATGCATTCGATAACACGACCATAAATTATAACTGGTTTCTAACACATCACACATGTCAGTTTTGCAAGCTTGGCTGAGTAAACAAACGGGAGGCAGACTCTCCTCTATCCTACCGCTGTGTCGCTGCGTCACGTTCACTCACACGCCCCACTCGTCTCCAGCTGACGATACGCCGACCGCGCTCGACGGTTTGTTGGCCCAGCTGGAATCTGCACTGGATACCGTGCTCGGGCTTTTGGGCCCGATCCTGGGCCTGACCGACGACCAGATCAAGGCCGCCGAGGCAGACATCGACACCCTTATCAAGGACATCGAGGCCATCGAGCACGGCGACGTCGACGTGGACGGCGGTCTGGAGACCGTGCTGATGGACCTCGTCAAGATCCTGCACGAATTCGGCATCCAGACCAGCCTTAGTTTCGACGTTCAGGGCACCAGTAAGTGGAATGCTGAGGTACTTACCAGTACGCAGGGAGAGTATGTGGTAGTACCATACTTTGTTGGTGCATTATTCAAGTCTGGTATCGAATGAGTGAGCGTGCCATATTCGCAGGTAACGCCACTTTGCATGTCGACGTGGCTTTAGCTGGTAGCTGGCCATTTCGTTTATGAGATAAAACACCACAGCGGCAGTGGATGGACAATAATCACAGGAGAGCTGTTAGTAGAAGGTAACCGAGACACAGCCTTGGAAACGGGCATGATCGCAGGGCTGCGACTGAACACAGCTGTCAGTTGAAATACTTACAGTATTACCGTCTGGTAGCGTAGCACAATTTGAAAACTTTTGCTTTTGTTTCGTGCACAAAGGGCTAAGGGTCCCACCGCATTACCACCAAATCGTTTACAGCAACCAGACCAACTGAACATTTGGTTAACCAAGCGTATAAAGAATACTCTACCAGAGATGGTCTACGTGCACAAGGGAATTGCCAAAACGTATGCTATCATCATCATCTGTTTGGTGCATGAATTTATTACTGAGCGGCAACGGCATGTCATCAGCGGCTCCGTCGGTCATCGACTTGATCTTGGAGGAGCTGAAGCACGTCGTGGACACCTACATGCCAATTATCGGCCCGGCGATCGGCATCACCAAAGAAGAGTACGAATCCATCATAACCAATTTCGACAAGTTCGTCGCCGACATCGAGGGCATGGAGCACGGCACAATTGAGATCGCCGACGGCGTCATCGACATCTGCACCGACATCCTACATGTTCTAGAGGCCTTCGGAGTGGATGTCACAGTTCCCTGTGAGTTTACCGTAAAAGGATGCATGTGACGAAGGATGCAGCTGGCCTGGGTAGGTCATAAATAAGTGGCTAGAGTCCAATTCAATGTCCGGCGGTAGCGTTCGGAGCAGGCTATTCGCAGACAAAGTCGGAAGCTCCCAAACATCAAGGATCCTGTCTCAGAGCGTGCCTGAAAGGCATCTGCCAGGGCGAAAGCCCCTTCAACGGAAATGTTTCGGTCGGACCGGCCCGTTCTTCCGCGTGATGCAGACACAGACACGTATGCTAGATGGGATGGCCCTGGTTGCTAAACCTGGGTTCTGACGGCAGCCACGGACGCTCCGACCACACTCGACGAGGTGCTCTTTTGGCTGGAGGAAGCGCTCAACGCCGTGCTCGACATCGTCGGCGTCTTCATGGGGCTCGACTACGACCAGACCAAGCAGGTGGAGGCCGACCTTCACGTGCTGATGGCTGACATCCGTGCCCTGGGCGACGGCCAGATTGACGTGGACGGAGGTCTGGAGGCCATCCTGCTCGACATCCTCAAGATCTTGGGCGACTTTGGCATACCGACCGACCACCTAGCGTCCAGCGACTCCAGTACGTACATCGGATTCCGGAAGGCCGAGGGGCCGCTATTCCTCGGAAGAGGCTACGTTTTGGTGTACGTGAGCCGTTTCCGGCTAGTTGAGGCGGTTTCAGAATTGATATTAACGCGCGGTGGACATGTCCTTTTTTCATTTCCAACCAGTACCGATTGCATGCAGGGAGCAAAAAGATGCAAGAGCACTGGCATAGACCGGGATGGAAGGGCTGGTACCAACCGTAATACCGGCTACAACGATTTTGTTTCACACTAGCATTTCCAAGCAGGGTGAACCACCTTGCAATCGCAGCCCAGACACCCTTTATTACAAATGTTACTGTTCCGTGCCGGAACCACAGAACTGATGTCTTGCACCTGTGATGCACATGGACAGGGTCAATGTGAGTTTGACTTTGTAGTCAGCAGGTGCTTAAAACGTGGTAACATTTCTTGTATAGAAACCACCTGTGAGTACAGAGCAAGGACGTCACGGAGGATAGAGCCACTCGCCTTGCTAGTTTATCAGACTATGTCTGACGCTGCTGACATCACGAGCTTTTATCAAACTTCCCAATTTACGCAGTGTATCACACGGTAAGAAGAGCCAACCACTAGTCTCGTAGAGACAAGTGCGGCGCGTGGCCCGGCAATGTATTAGCTCTGTCAGTATGCACGAAATCTAAACGCTAGCTTTGCTACGTATTGGAAGCATCCTGCCACACAGTGGTAATGATCAACAACAGGAAACCTTCTCACATCCAGTTGTAACCATGAGGGCTGATACAGTTACATCACACAACTTTACCAACATGTTACATCACGTTACAGCGATATAAGTCACTACTAAAGTTTCTACCAACACGCGCCCGGGTGGCCGGCTAGATACCCTTCTCTCGGGTGGGGGTCAATTTGTCCCGCCTAAGATCTCAAGAACTAGGAAAGCTAGAGACGCCAAATTTGCAGGGTGTGTTGACCTTTACGTGAACTCACTTAGATCAAAGTTTGAGAATCCTAAGTCATAACCTTCGGGTAAAATAAGGTTAAACAAGGTCAAATTCTAGCTTGGCCTCCAAAGTGCCTCCGGAACCTAGATAACTGTTTCTAAGCGAAAGATCACAAGCTCATTTAAGGTCAGGGACCTTACTTGCCTTTTTTAAGGTCAAAGTGACAAAATCATGCCAGGCTGCTCTGAGTTTTGCATTTGAATAAGCAAGACAAATTACGCTAGGCAGCATGCTCCTAAAAAATGTCGA